TAGCTAAATGTAACTTTATTTACAAAATATTCATTACAAAATTTTACAAAATTTTTCCTTTGCATGGAGACTTTGGGGACACCTGTATTTAGTGAAAAATATCTCATTATATAACAATCGATGTCTTTTCAAATCTTGTTTTCCTAGCAGCAGAATTAGAAAAGATAAATAATTTGCAAGCAAATTAACATTTCAAATTTAGGATTACAACTTTTATACCATACTTAAATACACAGGTACAAAGATAGCTGACGTATTCTATACCTCTGCATAGCTTACTTGAAAAGTTGAACAGTTACTTAACTGGATGACTATCAAAATGGTCAACACAGATTGATGGGCTTGAGTGCAGTAGACAGTGGGTATGCAGATGGTGTTGTCTGTACCATTTGACAGGAGATGGCTGAGTCTTTAAAATGATTTCAGTGGAATGGCTTTGGTGTTGTTGCAGTAAAGGGCATCCATTCAACCTCAGGTGCTGTGCAGATGGCAAAGCCAAGCTAATCTAGAAAAATGAGAAACAAGTGACTATTTAACGTACAGGAATGCATGATCTGCATCACAAATAAATGACAGTATTACATGTAGGAAACCTAGCCAGATGGCTGTGCATTAAAACACATGACTCCTTGAGAGAATTAAGTACAGGCAATTTGCTCAGATTTTCTGCAGGCCTGCTGCATATTATATTAGGGTAGGGAGAACAAGAGATTAAGTGCTTTATTTATTAAAAGTGTTTAGGTGAAGTTGGCAGTTACTTAAGCATAATCTGATCTCCATGAATATTTAAATTGTCCCTTAGTAGAAAAAAACAGTGATGAGGGACAGCTTGCTTTAAAACAAAAGGATGTAAGGAATAAGATTGTGTAGTGAACCTGTGGAAAATGCAACTGTCTTTTGGCTCACGTTTTTCAGTTTTGCAAAGTTTTCCACTAGGCAAAAGCTTAAAAAAATTTTTTTATGACTAATATTTCTTTTGCTATAAAGATTTTAATGAATTCAAATATCAGTGGCATACAGAAATTTTAAAGTGGGAGGAATTAATGTGTTGAGTGCTGTGTGAAATGGGACCATTTTCACTGGTAACATGTTACATTTTTGTTTTTCAGCTTAAAGAAAGTGGTTATTGTACAGGTCATGAACCAGATTCCCTGGAATTTAGCACTGTGGGAGGATGGGTATCTACTCGGGCATCAGGCATGAAGAAGAATATCTATGGCAATATCGAGGACCTGGT